AAAGAGGTTGTCTTGGGTCTTGTTCTCATCAGTATTTTCACTAATTACTTGAATATGTGAACAGAGGGGCCATTGATAAAATCTGCAGAGGTCACCATGCTCAGAGGTCACCATGCTTCGGAAAGCAGGAGGAGAATTCAAAAGGAGATTCTCAAATTGGAGATGTCACCTGAACTCAACTCTGTGAAATTTAATAAAGGCAACTGCGAAGCATGAAGTTTAACAGCGGAACTTCAGCTCAGATGGAGACCGGAAAGGCACAAGCTAGAGTTGTCTCTGCACTTTTAGGCACCACATCCAGTCCCCCCCCCAGCGAACACAGGTTTAGGGACATCTGGAGCATTATGTTGTCTCCCTCAAATAGCCTGGGTTGACACCATTGAAGGACCAGTCCTCTGTCAACTTCTCCATTTCATTTTTAATGCAGTTATAGTTTTGGGTTGGACAAGATATTTTTGGGAACAAGTTAGACCATCCCTGACCAATCTGATTAGCTGCTGTGATGAGGTAACTGGCTGTGTGGACATGGGAACATCAGTGGATGGGATATACCTTGACTTTAGCAAAGCTTTTGATACGGGAGGTCCCGTGGCACCTTCTGGACTAGCAGATTTGTTGGAGTGTGGGCTTTCGTGGATGGGGTCCCACTTTGTCAGATGCATGTCATGCGTCTGGTGGGGTGGGTCTTTGCCCACTGTGCTTGTGCTCCGGTGGATCTGTTGGTCTGTGGGGTGCCACAGGACTTCTCATTGTTTATGCAGATTTAGATTAACACGACTATCCTGGGATACTTCTGGTATGGTCTCCCACACATTCTTGCCAACAAACTAAGGAAGTATGGATTGGATAAATGGCCTGTAAGGTGGCTAGAAATCTGGCTAGATTCTTGGTCCCAACGGGTAATGATCAACAGCTCGATGTCTGGTTGGTCGTCCGTTTCAAACGGAGTGCCCCAAGGATCGGTTCTAGGGCCAGTTTTGTTCAACATCTTTATTAATGGTCTGGATGAGGGGATGGATTGCACCCTCAGCAAGTTTGCAGATGACTCTAAGCTAGGAGGAGAGGTAGATACGCTGGAGGGCAGGGATAGGGTCCAGAGTGAACTAGACAAATTAGAGGATTAGGCCAAAAGAAATCTGATGAGGTTCAACAGGGACAAGTCCCTGTATGTGGGACGGAAGAATCCCAAGTTTTGTTACAGGCTGGGCACCAACTGGCTAGGTAGCAGTTCAGCAGAAAAGGCCCTGGGAATTAAAATGGATAAGAAGCTGGATATGCATTAGCAGTGTGCCCTCGTAGCCAAGAAGGCTAATGGCATATTAGGGTGCATTAGGAGGAGCATTGCCAACAGATCTAGAGAAGTGATTATTCCCCTTTATTTATCCCTGTAAGATGTGGAGAAATTGGAGAAGGTCCAGAAAAGAGCAACAAGAATGATGAAAGGTCTAGAGAACATGACCTATGAAAGAAGACTGAAAGAATTGGGCTTATTTAGTTTGGAAAAGGGAAGACAGAGAGGGGACATGATACTTTTCAAGTATCTAAAAGGGTATCACAAGGAGGAGGGAGAAAAATTGTTCTCCTTGGCCTCCGATGATAGAACAAGAAGCAATGGGCTTAAACTGCAGCAAGGGAGGTTTAGGTTGGACATTAGGAAAAATGTCCTAACTGCCAAGGTGCTTAAACACTGGAATGAATTGCCCAGGGAGGTTGTGGAATCTCCATCTCTGGAGATATTTAAGAGCAGGTTAGATAGACATCTGTCAGGGATGGTGTAGACAGAGCTTGGTCCTGCCTTGAGGGCAGGGGACTGGGCTCGATGACTCTCGAGGTCCCTTCCAGTTCTAGTGTTCTAGGCTTCTATGATTCTAGCCAAGCTGCATGTGTGTTGCATTAGGAAGGATTTCCTTATGTTGGTTTCAAAGCAGTTCTCTGATACATTTCTTTGGGTGACCCCTGGGTCATGTTGATACAAAACTCTGCCCTGTGTGCTCCCGTTAAGGATAGTATGTGCAACTCTCCTATCGGCACTCAATCCTCTCGTTTTCACTCTCCACACTCCCAGCCTTGTCAGCCCTACCTCCATGCCCCTCGTCCTTTGCGTTGCCTTTCTCTCTTCTTGCTTTCAGACTGACCAGAACAGGAAGCAGGATTCTGGGGGTGGCCCACCTTGGATTTCCTGCGTTGCAATATTGTTCTCTCTTCTGATCCGACCCATTTGCTAACGGCTACTAGGCTATGTGTAGACTACATGCCTCTGTCGCCAGAGGCATGTAGATTAAGCTACCTGGCATAGGAAAATGAAGCGGCAATTTAAATAATCGCCGCTTCATTTAAATTCAAATGGCTGCCCCGCCGAGCCGATCAGCTGTTAGTTGGCTCAGTGCGCTAGTCTGGACGCTCCATGGTTGACATCAAAGGCATTTGTCGACCGCCCCGGTAAAACTCATCCCATAAGGCGTACCGGGGTGGTCGACAAATACTTCTGATGTCGACCGCGGAGCATCCAGACTAACGCGCTGAGCCGACAAACAACTGATCGGCTCCACGGGGCAGCCATTTTAATTTAAATGAAGTAGCGATTATTTAAATTGCTGCTTTATTTTCCTACGCCGGGTAGCCTAATCTACATGTCTCTGTTACCAGAGCCATGTAGTCTAGACATACCCTTAATGTCCTGTTCCCTTTTTCTCACTGCTGCTGCTCACGGAACAGATCTTCCCAGGAACACCCTCCACCTCACCCCAGGAGTCTCAGATCTTTCTTCAGTGAAACTAGCTCATTTAAACCCCTCTATTGTGTAGCCATGGCTGGGATTACGTTTTCCAATCTACGTTCCTTTGCATTTCTCAACATGGAATTTTATCTGCCGTTTTCTTGCTAGGCACCCAGGTTTCTGAGTTCCCTTTTTATCTCTTGGAATGATTCTTTGCACTGAATTATCTTGAAGAATTTTGTGTGATCTGCAAATTGTGCCAACTCCTAATATGGCCCCCTTCTGAGATCAGATCAAAATATGTTGACCATCACACGTCCCATTATATCACAGTCCCTGGGGAGCCTGCTAGTCACCTCTTTCGACTGTGAAATTGGACTGTGAACTTGCAGCACAATTTATTTTAACTGCTTACCGATCCAGAAGAGACCCTTCCCTCTTAGCCTGGAACAATTCACAATGTCAAAGAGTCTTTGGCAGGTGAACTGGTCAAACTTTTTCTGAAATCCCAAGCCCTGTTTCCATGGGATCACCCTTTTGTATGTCTTTGGTGGCTAATTCATGAAATTCTAATGATTAATACACTATGAAGGCTGTCATAATCAGCAGCGCTGACCAGCATCTGGTGACTAAGCGGTAAACTCAGGTATCTAGCAAAGGTGTCCGACCATCAGCCGATAACAATGCAGGTAGGAAATTCAAACTGGAAAAGAGGGTTTTGTCTCTCTCTTTGTTTGAGCTCAGAGCAGTTTCTCCCAGGTATTGAGGGAGATGGGGGATGCTTCTCTCTGAAGAATGGACTTCTTAAAATGTGTAAATATGGAAAAGTTTAGATAATCCATTGGGGTTTCCTGTTTTCCTTGTCTAGTGGTTTTGAAATCTTGTCTGAGCTGGTTAATTGTTTTTTTTTCTCTTTTGTAACTAAGCATTATGGGCCCAGAGGTTTTCCCTGAGTATCTATATGAAATGGTGGCTCTTTCCATCTAGTCAATTTCCTATGCTTGCAACTGTAGTTTCATTTTGATAACCAATACTGGTTAATTAGAAAAAACCCAATCTTGTATTGACTGTTGTGTCCTTAGGACTCAGTGCCTAGTTCCAAGGGCAGAGTCCATTGTGGTCTGTGGATTCCCTCTGGTTTCCCAACTCCAAGCAACATAGAGGTTGGGGTAGGGGGGAGAGCTTCACCTAAGGGAGCGGATTTCCCAGGTGATCTCTTCCCTGATTTTCTTGGAATTACTTGGGTGGTGGCAGCGGGTCCCCCCAAATCTGGGAATTAGGATTTTGTGGGGGAAGTTTTGTACCAGACCTGTAGAGGCAAGGGGTTGGGATGCTCTTGCGGGTCCCCAACTTCTGCATTCATTGTGCCAGAGGGGGAACAGCCTTGACAAGGTCCTTTCACAAAATCCACTATGACACTTCACCAGCAAATCATGCTCTGCCGTGTGGCTGGTAATCCTGACGTTTAGAACAATTTCAACCAATTTATTCTACGTAGAAATAAGGGGAAACGGTAAAGAATCCCTATCCCATTGGTTAGCCACCTGGCAAGTGATCAGGAGATTGATGGAAGTGATGGACTTAGGACAGTAATTCGACCATTTCCTACTGAGTTTCTTCCGAACTTGGGGGTGAATAGCAGCTGCTCCGGGTGACTGATCAGTATTTCATGGATCGGTTTGTGTCATTGTCTTGCTTCTGTGTCCAGGAGACAAGGGTAACTCGGAAGACCTGGGTCCAGGCTCTGGATGGATTGGCAAGACAGTCCTGCCCTCCTGAAGGGTGGTGGCTGAACAAGACTGAAGGTGGAGGTACGCCCATGATGAACAATGTCTCCCACCCTGCATGGATTTCCAAGGATGAACTCCACCTTGCCACTAATGTGCTATCGGTCAGGGTTGGAATCAGTAACACGGAGCCCTGGGCATGGCGGCAGGGTAATATTGATACAGCTCTGAGTCAGCCTCCTCTTTTGAAACCCTTCAAATGCAAACGGATTCCTATCTATGTCAGCACCGAGGAGATTGGTGGGATGATCCCAGGGAGGGAGGTTGCCCATAAAGGTTTAAGAAGAAATGTTCACGTCATGTGCGTGGCATTGGGAATTAAGTAATTGACTGATTATGACCAAACCTACTGCAATAATTCAAGGTGTTACCCATCCAGCAAAACTCTGGTGTTTTACAGATAAGGTCTTAGCACAGAGGGAGTCTCCTCTCCTTCCCATTGGCTACAGAGCCCTATAAAAGTGTCTGTCACTCTAGGTTATTCACTCCACTTCTCTTCACTTCATCGCCTCGGTAACTTGGGTAAGTCTATTGAATTCCAGTTAAGTTTTCTGTCGTGTCAGAGATCATTTGACCTAGGGATTGAATTTCCAGCAATTAGACCTATTAAGGCCTATTAAGGAAGGTCACTTGTTTGCAAGAGAGATGCTCTGTAACTTGTCAGTTTCTGGCCAAGGGGGATGCAGGCTCTAAAATGATCATGCTGGGATTGTCAGCTGCACCAATGGGACTGGAAAACTCATTCCTATTAGCAACTGTAGCAAAGGGCATGTAAACCCATGAGAGAACTATGGGCAACTTTAACTTACCCTTTATGTACAAATACCACTTCCAGCTGCTCAGCTGCCTTGGCCAGACTCGCAGCGACTTGTTTTGATTTTGTTGTTTCATTGTTTCATTTTAGTAAACAATCAAAATGCAGAAAAGTCGGAGGAACGGGAAGTTCTGACCGACCTCCTATGACAATCCTAGAAATCTCCTGTGTAGAACTGGGCATTTCCCATCCAGAGCCTTAGCAGGTGTAAGCTGAAATACCATGTTTGAATACAGGGTGAATGCCACTCTTTTTAAAGGGTGTCATGTGGAATGATTGCATGAAGCAGGAAAAAGATCAATTTGTTTGAAGTGTCTGAGATTTTTTGGGGGGATCTTCAAAGATAAAGCAGAATGGGTGAAAAGAAATAGAAAGAAGAATCAGGGAATTTTGGCTGAAAGTCAAGTACCTGTCCCTAACTTCTTCTCCCCCATTACTTTGAAAATCAAACTCTGAATCTCTCGTTCCACTCCCAGCTGTCTCTGACATTCTCTTTGCTCCCTCCTCTTGTTTCAGGATTCCCTCCAGCACACAAGATGGCTTGCGTTCCCCAGGATTGCGGTTCCGATATTTGCCCGCGCCCATACATTGACGTCTGCAACTCGCCATGTGTCTCATCGTGCGGCGATTCCACGGCCGTGGTCTTCGCGCCTCCAGTGGTTGTGAGATTCCCGGGACCGACTCTGGCCACTTGCCCTCAAGACAGCATCGTGGGAAGTGCCCTGCCGCAGCTGCCCTATGGCCCCGGGGGCTTCCCTGGTGTTGGGGGCGGTGTCGGTGGCCCCTTTGCTGGGGGCTATGGTGGTGTCTCTGGGGGACGTTTTGGTGGCAATTATGGGGGTTATAGTGGCGGTTCTGGGGGAGGTTATGCTGCTGGTGGATGTGGGGGAGGTTACAGTGGTGGCTATGGGGGATCATGCGGATCCAGGAGGTCCTATCGTAGCATTTCCTCATGTGGGGGAGGATATTCCAGCAAAGGAGGCTGCGGGCCCTGTTAAGCCCCAGAAGATCCGTCAATCAGGAAAGAACAAGACAGAGATTCGTCGCTGAGCTAACGGACAATGATGCCTACAGCTCTGCCCACGGGCTGTGGGTGTTCATCGCCTGCGTAAATCCAGCCGATCCGGGTCTCTAACGTGTTCCCTATTACTGCATGCCTCATTTACTGCTTCCCAAGCTTGTCTCACGCTGCCACTGCGCTTTGTGCTGTTGCCATTGAATGGGCTAAAAGAAGTCGCTGGGTCGGAGGCAGGACGTGAATTTCCAACTCTGCCTCTGCCGGAGGGAAGGAGAACAGCTGGCGTGGGATGGGAGGGGGCTGGTTCTTACTCTCGCTGGAGCCCTGACGATCCATTCTGTGTGCCCAGCAATAATTCACTGGGCAGTGTGGACTCCTCTGCTCTTTGCCATTAAACATTCTGCTGCATCATAACACCGGCCTCTGGTTTCCTTGTCTCCGTTCTTCCCTCCCCAAGTACGTTGGGAGAAATTCCCCCAAGAGAGCGGCTCCGTCCCAGCCCCAGGCAATGCCACACGCCGGCTCCGGCGCCCAACTCGGGAGGAACCCAGGACATTCACTGTCCATAGCAGTGGGCAAGCTGCCTGCACGGACACATTCCCCCTTGTTCCACCTTCTCAGAATTGAAATAGATGATATTTCCCGACAAATACTAGAACATAAATAGTTCTAGTGGAAGCTTGAGCTACCAACTAGTCCAACACTTTGAGCGAAGGCAGGACTTGTGTGGTCTTGGTCTAGTCTGTGGTTATAATTCAGCTGTGATAGGGATCCCAAATTACCATGGAAACCTGAATTCAGTACTTTGTTCCCATTATAGGAGGGCGTTTTTGCCAAATGAGACTCACATTTCTCTTGCTGTAGATTAAGCGCATATCATCCAATCTGATTTCGTTTGTGGAACAATTGTTCCGTATGGGAGAGGTTCCCTTCTAAACACACTTCTGAGCTCACTGAGATGCAGATGGATGGCTCTTCTCTATCACCAAGCTACCCCGTGATTTGCAAAATAGAGTTTACATTTCTATCTGCACCATGATCTGCACTTGGTAGAGCAAGGCGGGGAAGGGAGAGGAGTAAAGCCTTTTTTGAAATCCGGAAGAGAGGGACTGTCTGTGCTTCCCTGGCTTCTGTATCACTAGCACAATGATAGCTCTCATCACCTCTTTCCTGCGCAAACTTATCTGAAAGTCTTGCAGGTTGTGTTTTTGGGGGAGGGTACAATATCCTCAGATAGACGATGAGGGATTTGTCTCCACCACCATTACCAGAGATCACTGAGAACCTCTGTTTCTAAACACAAGGCCAAGAGTTTGAAGAGTGATTGGTGAAGCTGGTACCTATCTTTGAATATCCTGAAAAACACTCATTTTCAGACGTTTTCAGTGACTATTCTCTGGAGCCTTGTTCCCGTGAACATGTCTCATGCTAAATTCCATGCACTCTTGAAATTCCCAGCCTTCACATCATCCCAGAATTCCTTTTGGCAAAAAGGACCTTAGAAATTCTGGGCACTAAGGAAACCAAACGCTTCTAATGTAGCGTATGTGTGTCAGTGGAGTGAGTAGGCATCAGTTGAAATTTTATTCAGCTAAAAGGCCTTTCACTTATATCCCCTAAAGTTTACAAAAAAATGAGCTTGAGGGAAATTATTTTACAGCTTCCACAATATCATGATATTAGTAAAGCTTTTGACACAGTCCCACATAACGTTTTTATAAGCAAGCTTGGGAAATAGTTCCCTCAAATTCCTGGTGGAGGCAAAATAATTAACAGGTGGCAGCGAAACAAGTTGTTGAAAGTCTGGGTTCCAAGATAGTGTATCAATAATTTGTTGTCAGCCTCACAGGCTGTACCTGGGCCGACAGGAGGTTGTCCTGGGTCTTTTACTCTTCAACCTTTTCATTAATTAGTTAAATCTCAAGTATCAGCGGGGGAGCCGTGTTAGTCTGAATCTGCAAAAGCAGCGAGGAGTCCTGTGGCACCTTAGAGACTAACATGCATCTGATGAAGTGGGTCTTTGCCCACGAAAGCTTATGCTCCAACTCCTCACTGCTTTTTTAGTTACATCTCAGAAATTCAGGAAATTCAGGAAAGGCAACTACAAAGCATAATGTAAAGTGGGGAACCTGTCCCACTCTGACAGAGACTGGAAAGTTCTCTGCAGCATTGGGTACCATGTCTGGTCCCAGCTTCCAGGGATCACAGACGTAGGGACGCCCAGAGCACTGAGTTCCTTCCCTGAAACCTGGGCTAACAGAAGGACCTGTCCTCTGCCAGCATCTCTATTTCTTTTTCAATCCAGTTACCGTTTTGGGCGTCACTTGGAACACATTACACAATTGCACGTGTGTCACACAAAGAAGGACTCGCTCGTGTTTGTTGCAAACTTGGTCTCTAATAAGTTCTTTGGGTGACCTCTGGTTGTTGTGCAAAACACTGCCCTAAGTGCTCCCATTACTCCATTCTAGGCACAACCATCTCCCCCCCCTTACTCCTCTCTGTTGCCAGCTGAACACTCCCCGTCCGTTACATCTCGCCTCATCTGGAAGCAGCTCAATATCCTTCTTCATTTGTGTTGCCTGTCTCTGGACTTGCATTAGACCGACTGGAAGAGCGAGCAGGATTCCGGGGGTGATGTGCCAGGGATTTCCGGAGCGGCACTGCAATATTGCTCTGTCTTCTGATCCGACCCGTTTCCTAACGGCTCCTAACATCCTGTTCCCTTTTCCCCCTTCTGCCGCACATGGAGCAGATCTTCCTAGAGAACTCCCCACAAGGAGTCTCAGATCTTTTTCTTCAGCAAAACTAGCTCATTCAGACCCCTGCATTGTGTGGCCAGGGCTGGAATTACATTTTATTTGGCATTTCTCAACATGGAATTTCATCTCCCCTTTTCCTGCCTGGCACCCAGGTGTGTAAAATCCCTTTGGAACTCTTTGAAGGAGGCTTTGCACTTAACTGTCTTGTGTGATCTGTAAATTCTGCCAGCTCACGGCATGACCTCCTCTCCAGCTACTTCAGATCCCATTGAACAGCACTTTCCCCAGGCCTCTCTGCGCCGTGAACTGTAACCACTTACTGATCCAGGAGATACCCTTCCCTCGCAGCCCCTAATTATGTACTTTGACAAGCTCCCCCACCAAAGGCTCTTTGGCAAAGACTTTTGGAAAGTCCAGGTTGTCGTAAGTTGAGGGTAGGTCACATGGAGTCAGCAGGCCTGAAAAAAGGCCTGGAACATGAAAACAGCAACAGACCTGGAATCTAGTAAGCAAGACTTTAGTTCAGTCACACTGCAGCCAAGAAAGAGGCCCAATTGATAAGTGTGTGATTGGGTAAGTTAGGTGGAGCATGGAAGGACACAGGGAGGTACCGGGTACAGATTGTGAGCTAGAGGCAAGTGACAGAACATCTCCATAAGAAACGTCTTGATACCAACGACTCCCCAAAAACGAATGTGCATAATGACCTCAGTTCAGGACTGGGTTGATATTGACAGCATGAAGGATAGTAAGTAGACCCCCATTCTATGCAACAAAGGGTGGCTACCTGGTATGTAAGACGTGGTGTAAGTTATTTGTCCATATCTATAAAAGGGCACCGCAAACAGTGAGTGCCGACCGACCTGGGGGGCGGGGTGCAGTAGGCATCAGTATAGGTGGGTGTCATTACCAAAGCTTGCAGAATGCACAATGGTTTGGTGTTGAGATTGTCGGCTAACCACTCAGTGTCTGTCATTTGGCAATAGGCCTGCTATGTGTTGGAGCATTGCCAATGCTTGCAGAATACACAGTGGCTTGGCATTGAGATTTTCTGCTGACACCTGTTAATGCCTGGCATTTGACAATAAACCTGCTCGATTGGTTTCAGCCTGGCCTGAATCTGTCCTTTCTGGGGGCTCTCAGAGGTCTACCGTGTTGACCCACGTGCACGGGGTTTAGTGCTGTAGATAAAGGGCGCACACTCACGCATGCACACATGCAGCCGAGAGTTCATCATAACCAATGGAGTAGAGGACCTGTCAGGAAGGCACCAGGACAACCCCGAAACCCTGACTGATGACACTGTCATTTGGCATTAGGTCAGTTAAGTGTCGGTACATTGCCAACCAAGTATCTATTGTCCACTGGGACACTCTTGTCCATAGAGTAGTTGTCACGTTCCAAAAATTCTAAACTAAACTACCATATAGTTTGGAGGGTTTGTTTCATCAAGAAATCTTCCAAAGATACCAGCGCTAAGACCACCAAATTCGGTACACAGCTTCCTCTCATCATACCGTAAAGCAACATATGGCTTTGCTTGTGCCAGCAAAATGGGATGTGCCTGGAATGGGATTGCTCCTCATAAAGCCAAAGAGAAAAGAGACAGAATCAGCAAAGCAAGTACAGTCCTCCAAGCTGACATAACCGAGTGAATGCTGAAAGAGACCGAACCAAGAGGACCCAGACATAGGGGGAAGCTGGAACAGGATTGCTTCTCAGTAAACTATACAGAAAAGAATGAAAATGGAGCAATTTGGAGCAGAGCTCTGTTTGGGTGCAGCTACGTCAATGCTTAAGGTTTAAAAACTGGAAGAAAATATTATTGAACTCCAAACTGACGATAGCCCTTATTTGCTATGTTTTAATACAAGATAAGAGCTTATGTGCATAAGGGAAAAAAACCCAAACCACAGGATGGAATTCCCATTTAAGAAAATTTACTAAAACATCAGAGACATTTTACCAATCCCTTATTTAAAGAAATCCAAAATACATTTAATTTCCTAAGAATAACACTGTGTTTTTCAAAATACAATAATTTGAATATTTAAAGATACATTAAATGTAAACAAAAGTGGACGTTTCCTTTTTGTTTTTTTGAAACTCAGTTGACTGTAGGACGAGTGCAACATCGGGGACACATCCTAGCAATGGGGATGGGGAGCCATGGCTCAATAAAGGCCAGATTGACGTTTCTGCTGACATGTTCTGTTCACACTCACGGCTGATCATTTTGATCTTTGTCCCAATTTCACCCAATTACCTCGCACTCAACCCAGGGCACATTCCTAAAAATCCGCATCCCGTGAGTTATCCACCAGGCATCTGCTAGTGAGACCGATGCGAACCGTGGACACCTTTCCATGGGACACTCGAGAATTTCCCACTTTCTGGACTCGGGGGATCCCTGCCAGTTCACATGTATTGATCGGCTTGTGCCAGCGTCCTGCGCAGGCTTCTGGGAGAGAACTGCAGCCACACGCCTGAGTGCAAGGCCTGGTGATTGCTGGCCAAGGCCGCCTGCGCTCCCAAAGGTGCTGGCCCCGGCGCACAGTGCGCAGCTGAAGGGGAGGACAGGCTGCAGGAGGAACAAGGGCTCCCACCCTGCAAAGATTTAGAAGGGTGAACTCCACGTTGGTGCTAATTAGA